TTGTTATGGGTCTGTTCAAGTCTTCAACTTCACTCTGTGTGAGTTTAGGTAGGTCATGTTTTTCTAAAAATGTATCCATCTCTTCTAAGTTTTCAAATTTGTTGGAGTACAACTCTTCCTAGTATTCTGTTATTATCCTTTTGATTTCATTTTGTTCCATTGTGACATCGCCCATGTGGATTCTAATGTTTGTTATTTGTGTCTTCTCTCTCTTTTCTTTTGTTAGGTTTGCCAATGGTTTGTCAATTTTATTAATCCTTTAAAAGAACCAGCTTCTTGTCCTGTTGATTCTTTCCATAGTTTCTCTGTTTTCTATCTCATTTATTTCTGTTCTGATCTTTATTGTTTCTTTTTATGTATGTGACTGTAGGTTCCCTCTGTTGGTCTGTTTCTAGTTGCTGGAGATGTTGTGTTAACGTGTTAATTTTGGTTCTTTCTTTTTTCTGGATGTGCACATTAATCGCAATGAATTGTCTTCTCAGCACTGCTTTCGCCATGTCCCAAAGATTTTGGTGTGTTGTGTTTTCGTTCTCATTTTTTTCTAGGCACTTTCTGAATTCACATTTAATTTCTTCTATTATCAATTCACTCTTGAGCAGAGTGTTATTCAGTCTCCATGTATTAAACTTTATTTCCTTGGTCTTCTTATTGTTGATTTCTAATTTTATGGCATTGTAGTCTGAAAAGATGCTTTGTAGTATTTGATATTTGTAAATTTATGGAGGCTTGCTTTGTGACCTAACACATGGGACAATTATGGAGAATGTTCCATGTGCACTGGAAAAGAATGTAGATTGTGCTGTTGTTGGGATGAATGCTCTGTACATGTCTATGAGGTCAAGTTGGATGATTGTGCTGTTTAGTTCCTCTGTAGCTTTGTTGAGTTTCTTTCAGGTTGTACTGTCCCTTTTTGAAAGTGGCGTATTAAAATCCCCCACCATAATTGTAGATTTATCTACTTCTTTCTTTAATTATTGTAGTGTTTGATTTATATATCTTGGTGCTCTTTCATTTGGAGCACAGATGTTACTTATGGTTATGTTATCTTTCTCAATTGACCCGTTAATCATGAGATAGTGTCCTTCTTTATCTCTTATGCTGATTTTTGCCTTAAAGTTTATTTTATCAGAGATTAGTATTGCCACTCCTGCTTGTTTTTTTTTTTTTGTTTGTTTT